TTTTTCTTTTTTAAGTGTGTACACACATCATCCAGCATAAAAAAGAAAATTTAAATGACAGCTGATGTTTATATTTTTTTAAAAAAGCTACCTCTCTTATTGAAAAAAGTGAGATGTAATTGTTTTCTACCTTATAATTTATTTTAGTAAATAGCTGTCGCTTTGTGTAAATCTTCTAACAGTAATAGCTAATTTTTTAATTATCAAAATATTTTCAAAATCACACTAACTTGATTATGTATGTGAACAAATATATATTCTATTACAAATGCCACTCATACTCATTTTCTTGTTTTTCTTTTTTCTTTTAATTAATTTATTTTATACTCATTCACTGTACATCATCACAGTATACAAAATGAGATTTACCATCCAAAATTGGCTTAATCAATATTACTACACATGTTATCATCAAGTAATTTTTCCTTTCTTGTTTCTTGCACATTTTGCATTTTCCCCCCATGATTCTTACTTCTCACCCTCTGACATTTCCCACCCTCCTCCCACACTGTCTCTGGTATCTACGGTTGTTTTCCATGCCTCTTTTTTTCCCAACATTTTAGTGATGTACAAAAAAAATCTTAAATACTTACAATAACAAGTTCAGCTGATATATACTTATCTGTGAACACATATCTGACTTCAGGCATAAAACTCAGTGAGTAAAATGAACATACTATAAAGTAGCACCTAGCTGAGGCTATATAGCTTACTGTGGCCATTAAGTAGTTTTTTTTAATGTTTTTTAATTTCAAGAATAACAGTTGAAGTTTTCATAGATTAAAATGTTGAGAGAAATATGCTTAAAACTTAAAGATAAGAAAAAGGTTAGAATTCTCTTCAGATAGTAGGTAGATGAATCTATCAACAGCTTAAGAAAAGACAAAAAACCTTAATCTGAAAACAAAGCACAGGAGGAAATTAGTCATTTTTCAGTCAAAAGTTGTAAAACTCTATTTCACCAGTTCAGTATCATGTAATTAACCTTTCTTCTGTTGTGGTCCAATCTTTTTGTTTAAAATCTGGAAGTTAAGATTCAATCCTAGACTTGTCCCTACCATTAAGTTGGCAATTTTCTTGGTTCTCTTTTGAACTCTTATTTCTGTGTGTCTATCTTTAGTTTTCCTGGTATAGCACTTCTTTCAGAACTTCTTGGAGAGCTGGACTGGTATTGGCAAATTCTTTCAGGTTTTGTTTATATGACAATACTTTTTGTCTTTTCTTCTCATATGAAAGATAATCTTGCCGGATATAGAATTCTTGGTTGAAACTGTTTTTCACTTAAAACTTTGAATATATTTTCCCATTCTTTCCTTGCTCGCATTATTTCCAATGAGAGGTCCACTGTTAGCCTGATGGGATATCTTTTGTAAGTAACTTAATGTTTCTCTCTTGCCAACTTTAGAATCTTGTCTTTATCTGTGGTTTTGGTCAATCTGGTTCTGATGTGTCTTGGAGAAGATCTTGGGTTGACTCTAGGTGGGGTCCTTTCTATTTCTTGAGTCTGGATATTTGAATGCCTCTCTAGGTTTAGAAAGTTTTCTACTAAAATTTCATGGAATAGATTATTAGTTTCTTCACCTTCTGGGATACCGATGATCTGGATGTTTGGAGGTTTAATGGTATAAAATACTTTTTGTATGTTATTTTCACTCCATTGGGTTATTTTCTCAGTCTTTTTGGTTAATTTTTCTGAGATAGAGGGTCTGTCTTCTACATCTGAGATTCGATCTCCTGTATGATCTAATCTGCTTTTAATACTTTTAAGATTCCTATATTATAGCCTTCAGCTCTAACAGTTCTGTTTTGATTCTTTTTTATGGTGTGTATTTCTTCTTTCAACTCATGCAAGAACTTTCACACCTCCTGTAACTCGGTGACTTTTTTTTTTAAGAGGTTTTGCTACAGGGCATGTGCGCTCACCAGACAGAGAGAGACAGAGAGACAGAAAGCGAGAAATCAACCCCCAGGGAGAATGGCCACGCCGCAATCCCTTCTCCTCCATTCTCCTCTCGGGAATCTCAGCCACCCATGCACATGCGCCCAGCATGAGTTTTAAGCCACCGGGTCAGGAGGCGAACCGCGGTCGACTACATGGGAGTCGAGCGACATAGCCATTGTGCTAACTGCTGTTCCCAGAACTTGGTGACTCTTCTGCATCTTCTGGAGTTCATTATCTCTCTTCTCTTGCATCTGTCAGCTTTGTCACTATGAATATTCTAAATTCTTTCTTTGACATTTCCACAAGTTCCATTGTACTGTCTGTGCATGAGGAGTTGTTCTTTTCCCATGGGGGAGAGATTTTTTTGTTTATTTGTTTCTCATATTTGTGACTCTACAGTGGTTTTCTGGCCATTTGATGAATTATACGTTTCTTCCTAATTTCTTTTTTTTTGGAGAGGTTTTTTGCTATAGGGCACGTGCACTCTCCAGAGAGACAAAGAGAAACAGAGAGACAGAAAGCAAGAAATCACCCCCCAAGGGGAGATTGGCCACACCGCAATCCCTTCTCCTCCCTCTCCTCTCAGGATCTTGGGCAGGCACGCACACGCACCAGGCATGAGTTCAAGCCGCCAGGTCCAGAACTCGAACCACGGTCGACTACATGGGAATCCAGCAACATAGCCATTACACTAACTGCTGGTCCCTCTTCCTAATTTCTTGAAGTTAAGTCTGAGTGCTCATAAGTGTGCAGGAGGAAGTGATCTACAATCTCTCTGCAGTTCCACTTTTCTCCCAATCTTGTGGATGTTGGGGTCTGGGCAGAA